TATCACGTAATAATCTTGGATCAGGTTTCAACATTCTCGGAACCTTTTTCTTGTTCAACCCTTACCTAAATGCAAAAACTTCCCAGCATAGACCAGTGAATGCGTGGCTCATCAGCAAACAGCAAAACGGCTTTTCAAACACCTTTATTTTCTTACTACTTCTGCAATTATTGCTTCCCTCAAGTAAAATCACATTAAACCATTACTGAACTACAACTGGAAGTCGCTTTTCATACTCAAGATGAAAGAAATGTTTTTTTTTTCATTTTCGGCCGTTCAATTGACTTCCAACAACAACCATCCCCAAGTTAGTTCCCTGTTGGCCAACATTGCCAGCGGTGTTGCCAAAGGTCATCTGACGTTTGCCGTTCCATTGATGTCCAACAGCAACATTCCCCGAGTTAGGTCCCTGTTGACCAACACTGCCAGCGGTGTTGTCAAAGGTCATCTGACGTTTGCCGTTCCATTGATGTTCAACGGCAACATTCCCCGAGTTAGTTCCCTGTTGGCCAACATTGCCACCGGTACCGCCAAAGCTCATCTGACGTCGGCCAGGCTCCTCCAGCTCTGTTTCTATAGCAAAAGATGTAAAATATTCGATTGAAATTTTTCTTTTAAGTTTAGAGTATTACAGAAATCTTTATAGGAAAGATGTCACAAAGGAACAAAGGAACAAACCAACAAGACTTAACATGTACGCAACAAGCTATCAATTAAGATATTATACAGTTTTCTACAAGAAGTTGTACACACCTCGTCGGCCGTAGTAGTTGCCGTAGTAGTGGCCGCCGTAGCCACCGTTCCATTGAGTTCCGACATTAACATTTCCCGAGTTGATTCCCTGCTGGCCAACATTGCCAGCGGTGTTGCCAAACGTCATGTAACGTCTGCGGCCAGGCTCATTCAGTTCCGGCTCTGCAAAGCAAGTGCCAAAAGTTTCTAATTCTATGAAACTCATGTTTTTCTTGCTATAGATGGCATTTCAAATGAAGAAGGCCAGAAATAAACTTCGGAATTCTCTTCAAGCCTCTATTCCTAGCTTAAAAACCGCTTTCACAGCTTTATAATTTTAATGAATTGGCCAAGCCGCACATACACGAGTAATGATAAAAACCATATTGACTATCAACCTGGCCTCCCTTGTAAGATTCGGGTTTTTTTTTAAGTTCTTCTTGCCCTGTTTAAGTTACTGTGACAAATATTATCCTGTTTTAAGACAAAAATAATATCATGATGATAATGTCGAGGTTCGTTCATTTTTAAAAACAAAAACAAAAACAAAACAAAGGCCACATAACATCTGAATTTAATTGACAGGGGCTCTTCTTTCAGTAAAAACGGACAAATTACAATTGAATTAAGTTTCCTTTGAACATCGGAGGCTTTTTATACTATGCTCTACAAAACGGAACAATTTAACAACAAGTGGTATTGGTTATGTTCGAACTCGTACAAGTAGTCTATTAATCTCACCTCGTTTGACTATTGGCGGCCAAAGGTGGTCGAGTTCTGTTTCTGCAAAAAACGGAGATGTTACAATATTGAATTAAGTTTCCTTGGAATATAGGGGGCTTTTCATCGGTCATGCTATGCTTCGATATAAGGAACAGAACAAATTAAAAGTACCCACAAAACAGTAGAGATAAAAGGTTTAGTACGAGACTCGCACAATAAGGAGTAAACAGAGAATCACGTTTGGCAAAAACTTTTGCTAATGTCTATCCGAATAAGATACGACACATTTACGCAAAAGAAACCGCATTAGCCCGAGAAACTAAAAGAGCTACCTGGTTAGCAAGTGTTCAGTACCATTAAACAGGCCCAACTGAACAAACTAAATACAGTACTAGTGTTACTTTCAAAGGTCAAATGAAAACACGGCTGCTAACTATAGCAATAAACTGACGGACATACCGGCCATCTGGTTTTTCAGATCCTCAGCATCACGGTAAGGAGGTCGAGGAAATGACATCGCCAGACCCAAAGAGATGAAGAACAAAACAAGGCACTTCATATTCCTTTAAAGGAACGTATTACACAGAAATTAGTAGAATTCTGCTAGAAAACCAATACACATGCTGTAATCTGGTTGGTTGAGCTATTGCACACTATTTAATTGAACAACGTAGTATTTAACAACTGAAGAACAATTTACTGTTAGCGACGATTATCAATACTACATACAGTGCAGTTCAAATTACAATTCAGTTCAGAGCGCGTGGTTGCGCGTATAAAACATGAGGCCATAGTTCATTCGGTCATCTGCGTCGTTGCCTATCACTGACCTCAAAGAAATCACGTACAATCTCATATGCTAATAATAATAATTTGTTTGTCAGTATAACTTGTGCAAATAAACGCTCTCGTAAATCTGCGAGCTCGTTCAATCCAGTTGTATCACTTGCTATATACGCAAGCTTGTCGAGAATCATACATGCATTAGAAGTTGTAAAACGAAATGAAAGCAAATCGCTGTATTCAAACTGCGTATTTGAAATTAACTCGTTTGAAGATACACCTTTAAGGAATTTACCTTTTGTGACTGAATCGCTAGTTGCTGGACAGTTGAAAGTTTGAGCACACTCTGAAATCCTATCTTGAGGAGTAGTTGAGGTGTCAAGCAAGCTCTGTTTAAACACATCTAGCAAAGTAGCAAAATTAGTCATGTCACGTTTTAGCTCATGGCATTCTGTCAGATGCAAAACCAAAACGGACGTATGTAGGAAAGGATGTTAGGAATCTGCCACCGGGAACGGAAAGTACTCAACTTCAAGGAGGGTAAACTAGCAACAACAAGCTTAAGTGGGCTTTTGTTAATTTTTCTCATTAAGTTAGAGAAGTATATTTCTCGTGAATGAAGAGGCGCAGACAATTTATAGTCACGGCGTTATCTTGCACCAAAATTATGGAATGCCTTTACAAAAGCATCCAGATGCGTACTGAAATATAAATAAATTCAGTTACAGAGCAAAAGGTCTAAAACGAGATCGAGGGGTGAGGAACGAGCAATATTCACCCCTCGTCACCCATCACCTCTCACCCCACCTTGCAGATTTGCCCTTAGCATAGACCGCAAAACAGTCGTATTTTTTGCGAACGCGAGAGACGGTCAATATTTGAACGAAAGGTCTGGAGCGAGTGTAAAAACGGCGAGGGAGAATGGGGAGAGCCGCTAAAAAATACGACTGTCCGCCATGCATATGTTAAGGTGGCTGAACACAGTTTTTGATACCTGTGTTCATTCACCTTTTTCTCTAAAACCCTTGATCCCTCGGTCGCCAAAAATGGCAGCAAGCAAGTTAATAACACAAACTTTGGTTTTTTGATAGTTAAGTTGACGTATGTGCCGTTGCCATGGCAGCATGAATAAATATAAACAGGCCTTTAACATCGGTTTTGTTTATTTATAGAAAATCTAGTCATCAGATTTTACTTATAATTTGCATGCAACAAGCTTGTAACGATTCTCACAAGTTAACACCATTTTGCTAATAATTTAACAGAGAGATCTTTAATTATCCCTTGTTGAAG